ACCTTTCATAATGACAAGTTTCCATGCACTTTCTCATGTGTTCCTTTCTGAAGATGTTCAAATTTTAAGCTACAATGTAAATTTATCTTTGTTTCATCATTCTGTTTGCCTATTGAAAAATAAAATATGTTGGAGGTAGACTTTCTATGTTAACAAATAGAATCATTTTGAAAAGAATTATGTTAAATTCATTCTTTTGATTAACTATACCTTTAAGCTTGCTTTTATCATAGATGAAATATCAACCACAAAAGTGTACGAGTTATTCAATTTAAGGAACAACACAATTCCATTAAAGATTCTAAGAATTTTAAACAGAAGTTTAGAACCAAATTGAACATCAGCTAGTAGAAAAGTATCTACATGAGCTACACGCATTCACACCGTCATACTTTTTTATGATCACAAGCAAGTATTTTATTATAATTATCATTACCAATAATTAATAATTAATTATTCATTAAATAAGCGAGTTTGTGTAAAAATTTAGCGTTTTTGACACATTCGCGCCCCTTTCTCACTGTCTCCATCCAGTTTTTTTACCTTGAGCGCAACATTTGCAAAAATCAGTTTATGATTTTTTCATTTTTTTTCTTTTTAAATTTCTTAATCTATTATCTGTTGCAGCTGGAAGAAGTAACCACTCCATAAAGTTATAAGTCAATCAAACTATTTTTAATATTTTACACGTGTTTAATGTCACACTTACACACACCATTTTTGTTACACTTCACACATCTTTATAGATTTCTTCACTTTTTTTTTAAGCTGTCTCAAATATAGTAGGTTTAATCTAGCAACCATTATTTCCATTTCAATCTTCCTAAAGATTCAATGAAGACTCACTGACTGATACAACAATCCCCATTTTAAGGTATTATTTAAGATCATCTCAATTTACGGCTCTTCATGACTGTTAGTGATACAGCAATATTTTTTGATGGATGATCTCAATTTGGCATAGTTAACGTAACAGGCTCCTTTCAACTATTCATAGACTTTATTACAATGGTCTCTAAGGTGTATCTGTTATTTTAAAGGCATCAGCATAAACCACTGTCACAACACATGCAGTTCGTGAAAAATCTGCATCACGGCAATCTCGTTTTAGTTTAATTTCAACTTTCTTATAATAGTATCTGTATTTTTTTTCTTTTCAAAATCATACGTCTACGTTTCAGCTTGAACACACACTTTCCAATGTTTATACGAAGCATTCTGCATGTGTACGATCTTCACATTTTTTTTACAAAGAAATATGTTTTTATTTTTCCGCAGAGCGAAATATATTTCGTGCGCTATTTAATCGAAAATTTTCAATGAAATATCATAGATGTCAATACTGAAACTTTGATGTTGTTACAACCTTTTCCAAGGTATTTTGTAACTTCAATGTATATACAGCAGTGGAACATACAATTTATAAGCACTGCCTTTTTGTGGTGATTGACTATTATGTACATTATTTTTCGAGGCACATTTTGCACCGATTGGCTTTACAGAATTATCACTGATGATTTGACTTGAATTAGCACAGCTTGTTTTAGTTTGATCGATACCAAAAATTTGTATAATATTCTTATATAAATGTTCGATCATTTTTCCTGCATTTACATACACATTCGGTTTTACATCGATAAACAGACTCCTCTGGCTGTCTATATGTTTTAATAGGCAACGATGCAATAGATGCGATCTTGCAATATAAAAATGTTATTATATTGTTCACCTCGTATTCTTAGTGCCCATTTCACTGACCACTGTAGAATTGAATACGACCACTTGCAGTTACTGGCATTTCCCTCATAACAGCATCCCAAGCTGTAACAATAAAAAAAACTTTAGTGGATTTTGTAGTTTTTAATAATGAATTAATTTTTAAATGTAATGTGGTCCTGAACTTTGCCATCTATTATTCGATAAGGATGAAAACAACACATCAAGGTAATGACCAGAAATTTACGACCTTCTTTTGCAAGTGCATTCATAACATTTATATTGTTCATTATCATTAATAAATCAATGAAGAAAAAAATTAATTTCATGTTCACTTTAAATTTACATTCATTTCAAAGGTTGAATATTCTTGATAAAAAGATATTATTTCATCTAATTGTGTGTGTACGCGAGTGCGTTAATTCATTTAATTAAACAATCAACAAGTACTTACAATTTTGCAAAATTAAATAATTTTAAAATTATAAATGTAACAAATTGCAGATTAAACTATGCTTATACACTTACCTAAGCCAACAAATGAGACGATTTTATCGTGATTGTATGTCTGTATATTAACATCTTCTTCTGGTGCTACGTAAAGCATAGAAAAATCTTCTTTAGGTTGATGATATTTTTCCATTATACCTGGAGGAGGTGTAGGGGGTGGTGGTAGACAAGTAGGCGGTGGAAATCTTGGAGGATAACCCATGCACGGTAACCGTTGCATTATAACTGGGTGCATAGGTTGTTGTGTCATATGAGTATTTGGTGGTTGCATGAAATTAGGCGTAAACTTATCACATTTCATATGCCTTTCAAATATTGGTGGATATCTATCGAAATTAGATGGTGGTTTGTTTACGAGTGGTGGAACAACAGACGGAAAAACTGAACTGGCAGTTGAAGTATCGTCTATGGTAGAATCTTCCGACAATAAAAGTTGTTCATTTATTTCGAAACCAAATCTAAGTTCCGTTGGCAGGTCGCTATTTTTAGTGACATCGGATGAAGTTTCATCTAACAATATAACAGCCGGTCTTGATGTTCTTTGTTTATTAGATGTTTGCGACTCTGTCTTCAAAGATTGATCTCTATCCCAAGCTGTATTCTGTTGTTTGTTTCTCTTGTATTCAATATCTTCTTGTTGATCTTGTTTCAAATTCAAAGAATGCGGATTTCCTGACTTAATCGGTTCGTGTTTAATATTATTAACATTCTGTTCTTTGGCAGCTTTTGTTAACTTCTCGTTTTTAGTCAATTTAATAGCATCCGAATCAGTAATTTGTCCTTCTTGAGGGGATTTTGGATTATTTTGTGTGTTTGCTTTCACCATTTCACTATCGTCGAACGAACCCGTTCCTGAATTACTTTTATTCTCAAAATGCGCACCAGAACTTTCAATATTATGTGATTTCTTTGTATTCTCATCGTGGTGTGCATATGTAGTATTTTTTAAATGCTGATCGTCATGTGCTTGATTCTGAATGTTCTGAATATTTTGAGAATATCCTCGACGCGATCGAGAATTATTACACTTTGCATTCATAACTGGATCTTTGTTGTTAACTATGTTACAATTTGAATTATTGTTGTCGGTATCTAAATTACAATTCGTGACCATATTATTATTAAGCTTTGGTTGCTGTGGATTACTTATTGAAATCTCGTTCGAATTTGTGCCATGATTAACAGAAGATGCATGCTTCTGTTCTTGTTGTGTTAAATTCTGATGCATTTTCTCGATATCTTGGACATATTTAATAACTTGAATATTTTTGTTAATAGCTTCTTCCTGAGCTTCAGCCTTTTTCCTATCCGTTGTACTCTTCACCTTTGATGACAAAGTCGGTGATGGTGGTTTATCAAAACTAAGATTCAAAATATGATTTGTATGAGCGAAATTATGTTGTTTCGTTTTTCTATCGGAGTGTTGCAATTCGTCTAAACTAGGATAATAATCTTGTGGAATTTTGTCTGGTTCTGAGGGCGTCTTGGGTGGTACGGTAGGCCACGAAGATGTATTCAACATGCTCGGGACAATTGTAGATATATTTAATACCGAACTGTGTGTCATATTAATAGTGGCCATACGAGCTATGTCTGCGTAACTTGCCTGCGGCGTACCGCCTGATGAGGTAGCTACTTTCGATAAGTTATGTTTGGACGTATTTGATGTGACTGGCAATGAATGGACAGAGTCTGAATCACTACTGTCCGATTTGTCGCTGCAAACGGTAAGTATTTTACTATATTTTATTAATAGCTTATTAACACTAAACGTACCGGCAGGTTGTATATACCCTAGTCCTACCGTAACCAGTGAAATAACTGATTAAAAAACAAAGGTAAACAAGTTAGACAATACACTTTTCTTAGTAGAAACAGAAACAAAAGAAAAACCAGAAATTGAAAAACTGTTTAATCGGATAATATAGGAACTGATATAAAGTTAAATGAATGAAAGAAAACACAAAATTTTAAATAAAATTGTAAAACCCATCATTTGACCTGTCGTGGTACGTTTAGCGTTAAACTTAGTAGTCACGTAACATTAATTCACTTAAAGTTATAAACTTTAAATCACTGGAAGACAATATGACTAATTTACCTTGGCGGCATACTACTTGCCGATTTTCTTCTAAGTTCAGGAGAAAGAGGCGTTCTGTATTCATTAGAAAATCCTCTGGAGTTCTGAAGATACGATCCGGTTGTCGCCAAATTTTGTGCTCTACTACCACTGGAACTTCTCCTCTGCTTTTTACTCTTCTTCTTTTTCGTAACAACCAGAAATTCTGTTTCGTGTTCGGGCTCTGGATTGATTTTTTTATTGGAGTTTCGACGACTACCATAATAATCTCCAGTATCATTGCAATATATAGACTGACCTTCTTCCGTTCCCCAGGATCGTCTATCACCTCGACTATCGATAGCAGCGTCTCCTGTGCTTCTTTGTTTCGCACGACGTAAAGTGACATTAATTGTACCTATTCAAACATTAAATACTATATATTTTTTATGTAAGCATATAGCATTCATTTTCATTGAGATGCAAACTGACATGAATGCTAGAACATTCAAATTTATGAGCTATATTATTAACCAGTTAACTGCGTTCGACGAGTATACGCGTCATCTTAAACCGTAAAATGGTACTAATTTTTTCAACGATCAATTCTTTATTTTTTTAAATAAACATGTAATTCTTCTTCACTTCGCTGTAGTTTTTCCTTAGAATATACAGATGCATTTGTCCTGGGTTTAACGGGTATACACTTTGTTATTTGTTTTTATTGCGCGCTCAATGAGAGATTTTTCAAACTAAATTCTACAGTCAACTGATTAATTCTACATAGTCATAATTTTTTGAAATTATTATGCACTTTAACCTTCCGAGTACTGCATTTGTATTTTTTCTATTTTTACAGCTCATTAAAATTTTTACTGTCCACAAACGTGTTAATATATTTTTATGTAAATAAAATTGTTCAATCTTCAAATATAAAATATAACGTTGATTATTTACCTTGTTGACTTGATAGACTACTGGCACCACTGGAACTGACACTTTTTTCTGTTGTAAGATCTTCAAGTTTCGTTTTGGATATTTCTTCCAGAGAATTGGATTTCTGTAGCTTAGCAGGCAACTGTTCTCTTTTAGTATCTTTTTCTCTACTCCTTGGTTTTGCTCCAGAGCTAGTTTTTACTCTTACCGGATTACCTGGTTTGCCTTTTTTACTTTTTGATTCTTTGTTTTCAATAAAGTTAATTAGGGTATCAATGTCTTCATCATTTCGATGACCTTCAACATTTTCAGCGTTATATACAATAACATTGAGTTCTCGCGTATGATTTCTTCGAGGTTTTTTTCGTTCTCCGTTATAATTTT